GAACTACTGATCAATAATTTTACACATATCCGCCTCACTATATGACAGGACCCTAACTGGACCTCTAGGGAGAATAGTTTAGAAATGATAGTTATTTTTGCGAGATGTCAGTTCCACATTACTAGCGAAGCTAGTCATAGCAACAGGTTATGCTAGGCACATTTTTCATGAATCTTTAGAAATGTATTGTCTTTAACCTGTATTTTGATGCAGGTTTGTTAGCATAGCATGACGAGTTGCCATGGCTACGCATTGCTGTTTCGTCGTTCGTCACCGACATGTATCAGTTGATACATTTTTCAGCTGTCAGTGAAAAATACAAGCAAAAAATACAAGCAAAAATGTTCCACATCCAAAGCCACCTCATGAGGCACCTGCCAAAACAACCAAATACAAATCTCATCAACTTACTTGATTTTGGTTAGGTAGAGGAAATCGATTCGGCATTCCACCTCGACCCATGGGTCTAGGTATTCTCTGTCCGGGCATAGGATGTCTCATACGGGGACCGCCTGGTAGCGGAAACCTTCCTCGAAGTCCTAGGAAGCGCGTGGGGTCAAGCGGTGGACCAGGGGTAGGGAGCAAGCCTCGAGATCGGTATTCTGGTATACCATGACGTGAAGGATCTGGGCCTAGCAGACCTAGGAAATAAGACAGTGAATATTTTATATTTTTTATATTATAGACTTCTACTCAAGATCTTAAAGTGTGACTAACCCCAAATATCATTTTTTTTGTATGTGTAATATTTAGGTCATTCGAAGAAGAAATGTAATATATCTTTAAAACAATCCCATCTTGATCAACGTATTTCGACTTATTATACTGTACTGTAAATATAATTTAGACCATAGTTAGAAAATTGCCTAATTAGTAAATTGGGGCTTTCTCGAGGTATGAACCAACCGAATTGTAGTACTGGTTAACACTTTACATTATACCCCTGATTTCATTTGTTCATACTCCTAGGAAGTACTGAATATAGTCATGTTTAATGTTATTGTTGTTGTGTCTATAGAGTTTAGGAGGACCAGATTGGAAAAAAGTTGTAACTTTATCTGTTTATCCTCAATACATAAAGTGTTATTATTATTATTATTATTATTATTATTATTATTATTATTACTTTCTCACTGTTAAAGTTTCCGGATATGATGTCATTAGGTGAATTGCAAATTAGTTTTCCTTTGTTTTTTTGTACCAAAAATTCACCTAATTACATCATATCCGGAAACTTTGACATTGAAAAAGTTGATAAAAATGAGGCTTTTTACTATAAAGATACATTACATTTCTTCTTAGAATGACCCAAATATTACACATACCAAAAGTTATATTTGGGGTAAGTCGCACTTTAAAAATAATTGAGGAGAAAGTGCTACCTTTACATTGACATCAGCAAATGGTTAGGCCAAAAAAAAATATGTGGGTTTCCGGTTTCTTCTTATAAAAACTTAGGTAGGGTAGGTCGGTTTTAACTTTTTTTTTAAACTTTTTTAAAATTTTCCTAACAACCGGAAGCCATTTTGTTTAGTCAGTGCTTCCACATCCAAAGATAAATTTCCCTAATGTTGCCTCAAATTTCAATTTTCCACAAACTTTTTCCTCTAAGTGGAAACACTTACAAGCATGATCCAATAAAAAAGTTTAGGGTCGGGATTTCGACGTCCAAAAGCTAGGTAGGGTCGGGAAACCGGAAACCCACATTTTTTTTTGCCTTAGACTTTCAGGTATATCGAATCCCCTGTCAATTGGGCCCTTAGCCTGTTGGGAAATCCCCTGTGAATACAATTTAATGCCAAGAGTTTCCGTGAAACCGACTCACATTACAAGTCATATTTGGCTCAAATTTTCATTCAGACAATTGGCTGAAGTTATCACTTCAGTTATATATATAGAGCTCACATGTTGGTGCACAAACTTCGTCAAAATCTTACCCACACGGCCAGGCACTCTTAATGGCTGGCTCATCAACGGTGAAGGAAATCGCTGACCACCAAGTTCGTTTATATTTTGACCTTGTTCCCCCTGCTCCTGGGACGCCTGTGGAGAACAAAAAGCGACATTTCAAAATTACAAATAATTTCGATGTGTTGATATAGTAGTACAGAGGTTATTGCACGTGTCTCTCATTGACAATATTGACCAATTATAATTCCACGCCCCTTTCCCGTGCGTACACACACACTATGAACAACACTTAACCGAAAAGAAGCCTTTAACGACGAACTCTACTGTGTAGCAGGGTTTTAGCTAGCCGATTTTATATCTTGGGCGTGTTTCTAAATTTCCAGGGTGTGCCCATGTCAATTGCCTTGAATAGCCTTTAAAACACAATTCCAGTTATGCTTGTCAACAATAGACTATACCTGTGGTTGTTCTATGCTTTTCAACCAAATACGAGGCGAGCATACGCTCATATTTCGCAATGACATTATAATAAATTATTTTAGCAACTCTTGGGGCATTTAAAGCCATTTTAACCACCATACGGTGCCCATTATCCATCAAAACATTACGGATCACTTTTACCAATTTCAACAACTACAGTAGATTTTACAAAGAAATTCTGTATGTTGTAAGTAGCAACACCTTATTTTATGAAACTACATGCATGGCCAAAAATAAATACTGAAGCCGCGTTCATTTCATCCAGCCGTGTTTTTATATTTTTGGCCGCGATAACACGGCCAACACGGCCTTCTAGCTAAGACCCTGCAAGTGTGTAGTGCCATACATAATCGTCTTTGGAGACTCACCACAAGTTTTTTCAACAGAGCTTGTACGTCGACATTCGACAATGCTGCGTTACCCGATCCTGAAATAAAAATAGCAAACATTTATATACGAAACATCCTCCTTTGATCCTCCCCACAAAGAGAAAAGCTTGACAGTATAGCAAAGAAGTAAACTTTTTTATTTATTACGAAACCATCTTTAGAAAACACGATGAGAGAAAATTATTATTTCTTGCACTTACCAGCAGAGTTTGCAGCCGAGTTCCCAGCACCTAAACAATAACAACGTTTTTAATCATGGCTCGGTTTATACTATAGTCGGTTGACGATAGTACATTACGACTGTGATTGTGAATAAACACAATACACAGGCGAACAATCTAGGCTAATTGAAGTAGGTAATAGGCGAACAGCGCTCTAACCAACTTCTCTTCAGAGCTCGAAATAACGTTTTCCCTGCTTTTTCAGGTTGGAAACCCTGCTTTTCCGCCCATCATAAGCAATTGCTACCCGATCATTGATCCGTGATCAGCTGTCAGTTCAAGCCCTGTCTTTTCCATCTATACAAATCTCTTCAACAATTAGTTCTACTGATCGAGTGAGATAGTACATGAGATAGTATATGTACATGAACTTGTGGTTAGAGCTCGACAACTGGCCTCTGTAACTCAGTTGGTTAGAGCGCTGCACCGGAATCTCAGGGCGAGGTTGGGCGCTGTCCCTGGTTTGGTCTAAGAAATGTATAAAAATTCACACTCGACTCCAAATTTCCATCTACAAATGTCTTCAACAATTATGCGTACCTTTAGTAGCATTCGCGAGCAAAGCAGCCAATGCGGGAGGTAACGTTACATTCGCGTCATCTGCTGCTGCTTCGGTAGCCGTCGCTGCAGACTCGGGGTTCACCGTTCCTTTTGACTGTGGATAAACGTTTCCTTTCTGTTAAACGATTAGAATCAATCAATTTTATACGGTCAAAGACGTAAAACTGAGAATTAAATCGCAAAGGATGCAGCTCAAACATGATCATGTCGAAAGCTTAGGCCTAAAAACTGTTTGACTCCGGTTTCCCGACCCCCTCTCAAATGACATTGGACCCAGAAAAAAGCCGTTTCCAGAGTCCAGTACGTATAGAAATTTGTATGTGTTTTGCCGCACACAAAACAGACAATAAGTGAGACGCTCTTTTTGCACCAAATGTTATATAATCTACCCAATAAACGGTTCTGGGCATTAAAATTCTATTGAATTATAATAATTTTTGTATCATCTAGTATATTAGCTATTTGAATAAAAAAAGTAAAACCTAATACCTATCGTCCCCATGCAACCTTTTGAAAAATGAAACCTTTTGAAAAATGAAACCAGAACCAAACAATTTTTAGGCCTTACTTGAGTCTCACTAGGTAGCCCATTTCGGCATTCTAGTCAGTATACTGTAGTAGGTAATTTCAATATCACATTATCACTTAATTACCTCATCATGTGGAATGGTAATCGGCTGTGATGACGTAGCGCTCGCTGGCTTCGCCTCAGGCTCTGGTTCTCCAGGACTGATCGGTAAACTATGGAAAAATAACAATGGCACAAATATTTGATAATGTTCCTCTGATTGTTAATATATTATTCTGAAATAGAGTCCTCGGTTCCTGATGAGGAGAAATACATGTATATACTGTATATACAAGTGTATGGTAATTAAAAGCCGAAATAAAAATTACATGATAAGTTTTTGCTCTACCTTGATTTTGAAAAGAACAAATGTGCCAGAATCTTCGACTCTCGTTCTTTCTATCAAGTTAGAAGACAAAATGTGAATGCTTATTTCGCTGTACTTGACGACAACGATAAAAACAATAACATTAACAACAGTAGCAACAACAACAACAGCAACAACAACAATAACAGCAACAATAACAGCAACAACAACAACAACAACAGCAGCAGCAACGGCAGCAGCAACGGCAGCAGCAGCAACAGCAGCAGCAGCAACAGCAGCAATAACAGCAACAACAACAACAACAGCAGCAACAGCAGCAACAGCAATAACAGCAACAACAATAACAACAACAACAACAACAACAACAACAACAACAACAACAACAACAACAACAGCAGCAGCAACAGCAGCAACATCAAAAACAGCAGCAGCAACAACATACCAACAGCAGCAATAACAAACCTGGCTTATTTTCTCTTGGCTGTTTGCGCCATGTTCCATTATTTCCGTAATATCAAGAAGTTTGGGTCTATACCACGGCAATTGTTCCATCATCTTGTCCTCGCTCAATCGCTTGGCTTGTTCAACCCTCTGAAAATTTAAAGAAAATATTCACTGCACGCTCTAGATTACATATATTGTACAATCCTTGAAGAAAATACTCATGATGCAGGGCATAGAAATGTAACTGATCCATTGCTGTCGACACACCTCATATAACTTCATTTGATCATTTTTTAAGGGAGCTTTTAAAACACACAGTACCTGTCTCTCTCGGATCGCCTCTTGGTGCTGAGCGTCATGGAAGTTGATGATATGTTGAACTGCAACTAAAGAAATATTGAAATATAAATTGAAGGTATGTTGATGTACATTAAGTAATTTTGAGTTCAATCACAAGCCTATCATTAAAACTACCGGCTGTCTACAAAAACCTGCATGGACAGTGTTTGATTTCATGTAACGTAAAAGCTATATAAAAAGCTACCGCAATGGAATGACGATCATTGTATTCAGAAAGGACTATCTTAGATTTTGATATATAGCACTTGAATTTACATGCAATATTGAGCGAGAAACAACCAACATAAAAATATTTATTATTTAACAAGTATAACTACATGGGTAATTATAAGGTTGTTTTATGCTAATTTTTAGCATTTTCAAAAACAGTAGTTCAACGTTCAAACATCAACAGCGCAGTCGATATTGCATGTAAATTCAAGTGCCATATATCAAAATCTAAGTTAGACCTTTCTGAATGCAATGATCTTTATTTCATTGCGATAGCTTTTATAGCTTTTACGTTACATGAAATCAAACAGTGTCCAGTTTTTTTTTGGGACACCGGTATTCCGGTATTGCGTACGAAACGCGTACGAAACACGAGAAAATAGGTAAGGAATGGAAGAGGAAATAAAAAGAAAAATTAATTGCTCTTCAGAAAACGTTCAATTGCTAAAGAAGTCCTATATACCTCTTTCTTCGTCATCTGGTTCATAGTAATGATACTCCACGAGCTTATCATCCGTCGCCCACGTGATGTTCCTTTTCTTTTTCTTCTTGCCAGTTCCTTCTTTCTCTTCACTGACGTCCTTCTTTACTTCATCCTTTTTTACTTCGTCCTTCTTTACTTCGTCCTTCTTTACTTCGTCCTTCTTTACTTCGTCCTTCTTTACTTCTTCCTTCTTTACTTCGTCCTTCTTTACTTCTTCCTTCTTTACTTCTTCCTTCTTTACTTCTTCCTTCTTTACTTCTTCCTTTTTTACTTCTTCCTTTTGGTCGGTTTCCATCGGTTCAACTACTGTTGCCACTGAAGATGCTGGAACTAAGAGGCACATGTTAAGGCTCGTTTAAGGGCCACTTTCCCTCAAGAAAAATTTCCGCGAACAGAAAATTTTCCGAAAATATCATTGTTAAAAGTTGAAAATTTTCAACTTCAAAATTTTTTCCGACGGAAAATTTGTGTCGGCCAATCCCATTTTACAAAATTTTCTTTCTGCGGAAAATTTTCCACGTAAAGAACAATGGTATTTTCGGAAAAAATTCTGTACGTGGAACATTTTCTTGAGTGGAAATCCTCATCTGAACATTCATAACTTACAGTATCTACCCGTTCACATCCTTAGAAGAAAAAAATCGCACCTAAAATCGGGTATACTACTGTATCAGTAGACGGGCAATAATTATGAAACAAACCTGGATCTTCAGTCTTTACTTGTTCTTCTGAAGACGCGTTCTGTAATAATGTAAAATAATATTTATACCGTCAAGAAATTTGCACTCAGTATACAATATTATTCATGCAAGAAGAACAAAATCCATCACCACAGCTAGAAAGAGCATGTTACAATTAGTAAAATTGCAAAGTTTGGTTCCGAAATGTTGTGAAATGAGGAAAATATAGCCATGGGAAATTTTCAAATTTTGTATTAATTTATATTATACGCACGGGAAAATGGACCACTTTCGGCCCAAATGTGGTGCATTATCCCGCGCGTGATACAAATTAATACAGTACAAAATTTACAAATTTCGCATGGCTATATTTTCCGCATTTTACAACATTTCGCGGCCAAACTTTGCAATTTTACTAATTTTACTGTCGTTCCAATTGAAGTGTTCCTCAAATATTGATTCAATACATTACCTCGGGCTGACCAATTCATTTCATCAAGTTCCTCGAAATATTCATACACTTCCTAGTATAATTGTAAACTTCCTGTTGAATAGTTTGAATGCACCAATCACCTTTGTTGTTTGTGCAACTGACCAATCATAAATAGAAAGGAAGTGACCAGAAATGATCAAGTTCTTGGAATTGGCTCTTTCACAGGAAGTGTATGAATATCTCGAGGAACTTGATGAAATGAATTGGTCAGCCTGAGGTAATGTATTGAATCAATATTTGAGGAACACTTCAATTGGAACGACAGTAACATGCTCTTTCTAGCTGTGGTGATGGATTTTGTTGAAATTTAGTCTATAGCTGGACAAACGAGAACAGAATTGCACGAGAGTTGATTGGATAAATGACCAACTCTAAGCCCAAAGTTGAGAAGTAATATATGACCAACGAGAGCGCGAGTGTTTGTTTTCGAGTGTTTGGATATCCCGGTGTTGATACGAGCTCGAGTTGTTTATATGGCTTCTCGAATGAATCGAGACGTAACAGAATGTTTTCATTTGCTGATTTGAATAGAATTCTTAACCAAGCAGAACGTAATTAGGAATTCTATTCAAGTAATTTTGCATGCGTAATTAAGATATTTGATGAAAACATTAGTGACTTCCAAATGGCATCTTGTGATCAAATAGGTGATTATCATTGGCTGAATTGCTCATGAATTATTAATGAATTTGAGAAGATTAGTTTGAAGATTTAGAGAACTAGAGTACGCTAAGCTAAACGACTTTTGAACAACCGGTGGCTGGTCAAATGAGAGTTTGTATGAGAGTTTCTCAATTCTCATGCCTCGGTCGAACGAGAACAACAGAGACGCATGAGAGTTGATAAGAGTGATAATTTATATAATAAGACTGAATAAATTACCAACTCTCTCATCAAAATTACTAGCCCAAAGTCCAAATTACTAGCCCAAAGATTTGACAAGAATGCATGAGATTCCACGAGAGTTAGCGGACAAACGCGAGCAAGGGATACAACTCCCTCGTTTGACCTGGGGGTTAAAACAGCAGACATTTAAACACAGTTACCTCACTAGAATTTGTGCCAGTAGTGGTGGTAGCTTCTGGATCAGTAACAGGTTTTTCTGTCGTCGTATCATCTTGTGAGGGTTCTGTCTTCACCAGTAGCTCCGTGCTTTCACTGTGGAAAAACAAGACAAATTAAGATGCAGCTACAGTAGGTTTGTTTCGTAATTTTCGCCAGACATTTCCCTATACCTTTCGGGGTTTTCATTCGCTGCTTTTCCAGTTTCTTGATCCTTATCTTCTTTCTCTTTATTGCTTTTCTCTTTTTCGTCGCCTTGTTTGTGAGTTTGTGTTTGGTTGAACAAGATCTCCTCAAGAGGACCAGTCGACGTTTGCTGAGGGCAGATAACAAACCGTGTTAAAGATATATTTGGGTCGGGAAGAAACATGCGTTCTTCACATCTGTGACCAAGGTTCAATTCCTGCATATATGCAGAGGTCTGATTATTATTTTACATCAGTCGCGTGCGAGAAGAATAGAGTGCTTACAGCTTAGAGACTCTACGGAATATCACAGGTTTAGAATGGATGATTTTAGCTATAAACTAACTTTTGATCCAGGCACGAAAAACAAAATCCATCACCACAGCTAGAAAGAGCTAGTGCTGTGCGCCGGAGTTGCCGGAGTTCTGCCGGAGCTCCGGCGGTTTTTCCGACGCCGGAGCAGAATTTTGTATGCCGGAGCCCGGAGCCGGAGTTACGTTTTCCCAGCTCCGGCAAAATGACAAGAAAACAATATGAAATGAGACAAATGTCAAACGATTGTTAGTTACTGCAAACTGCCAATTGCTGTTAATGAATTCATCATAGACTCAAACTGCCACAGCCCACAGGAACAGCGTCGAAAAGCTGTAATACGATCGCAACTTAATACAAACGTCATGCTTTCATGAAGCCATCTGACTTAGCGCTACATACTGTACTCTGTGTATTCATGCCTTGTAGATAACGAAATGACAGAGTACTTTGTTTGCGTGCGAACAATTGCGCTGTGGAATCTGAAAGTGTTAGCGTCATGCCTCGTGTCAAAGATTTTTCGAGGCTGGTTTCCGTATAGATATTTTCTGCGTGGTTAAGTGTTTTCACTGTTTTGTTTCCTGAGTTATGTTATCTGATAATTAGGAAGCGTGAAAAGGGTTATTCATAATAATATTAATAAATGTTCTCTGATCGTAAAACATTTATTTAATATTTTATGATGTGGCCGGAGCCGGAGCTCAGAGCTGTAATTCGGCCGGAGCCGGAGATGAAAAACCGGAGTTTGCACAGCACTAGTCAAAGAGCATGTTAAAATTAGTAAAATTGCAAAGTTTGGTTGCGAAATGTTGTAAAATGAGGAAAATATAGCACTGCGAAATTTGCAAATTTTGTATATTAATTTATATTACGCATGGGAAAATGCACCACTTTCGGCCCAAATGTGGTGCATTTTCCCGCGCGTATAATACAAATACAAAATTTGCAAATTTCGCAGGGCTACAGTATATTTTCCTCATTTTACAACATTTCGCGGCCAAACTTTGCAATTTTACTAATTCTACTACATGCTCTTTCTAGCTGTGGTGATGGATTTCGTTCTTCTTGCCTAGATCAAAATTTAGTCTATAGCTGGAATTGACCATTGTTCAATTTTTAATTAAAAATTCTTTATACACGGTGACCTTTCAGGACAACATTTATATGTACAACCTGATTTTCAAAGGGCCGTGTTAAAACAGACTATACAAAAAAAATACACTCAAATTAAACTATACACAATTTACACTTCTCAGATATTATGAATTAGTTGTATTAATGAAAAGTCATTGTCCTAATCGCCGTTTGAATGTTGGCATAGATAAATTATTAAAATCGTCAGTTATTTCTTTCGATAGTTCGTTCCACCCTTGTGCTGCTCGATATGAGAAACTCCATTTAAGAAAATTAGTCCTTGGTTTAGTTAAACGATCGCTCGCTTCTTTCTGGTTTCCTCCTGCATGTAATAACACTGTGACAATAAGGGCCGACCTACCCAGTAATGGCCAGTATAAATCGAGTCAGTTTAGTCTGAAAGGCGAAAGATCAGTGGGTTTTAGTCTTACCTTGGGGGAAGGTGGAGGGGCCACTTTCTTCTTCTTTTTGGTTGGAGCTGTTGGCGGTTGTATCAAGGCATTCATGAAACCTGAACTTTCCATAACAACTGCAATGAAAGCAATGCATATTTTATGTGGCTCACGCGTTAGGAGAAGTATCGTAGATGTACAGTACTTCGGATATTCTATTCTGTTTTGCTTTTTTTTTCTCATTCCTTATCTTTTCTCCTATCGTATCTATGCTCTTCTAGCCCCTTTCATCATGATTTTCTATCCTCTATCATTCATTTTTTTGCTAACTCGCTTTAACTATTGCGCAGGAAAAAATAATTTTCTTCCTGGGAGCAGAACCTGGAGATAAAAATTTCCTGCAGACCAACGGAGTATTTTTGTGCGAAATTTTATGCATGCACATAAACATATAGTGTTCTAGCTGACCATGGTTTTAAATTCAAGGAATAGTGTCTGTCAAGCATATGTTGTTGCGCCCATACTGGGACATGTTTGCAATTTTCAATAGCAAATCTTCATTCAAACGAATTTCCTGCAGCTGTTTAACATTTCCTGTTTTTTCCACTCCTGCCTCGTGTACCTAAATGCTCCCTTTGTCTGCTATTTTTTTCGCAGTCTTGTTTAGAATTATTTTTTGTATGTTTACAACAATGAATAACGTACGTTTAGGCAAAGCCGCAATAATTTTGGTTTTTGTTGGAGGTTTCGCTACACTGGTAACGTTGCTTTTCGCTTCGGCCAATGTCTTGGGCTTCTTCTCCGGTGGTTGACTTGACTTGGGTTCTTTACTTGTGGAGTTCTCTCTGTTGAAAAATACATTCAACATCAATGTGCATTGACTATAGAACAACTATATAAGAACTTACTAGGAACTAAGCATGTTGAAATAAATTAATGTATAGAAATATCGTCTTGAATTACTTGAGCTTTACCCTTCAGAGCAATTTTGATCAACTCTGCTAGAAAAACTACCTGCCACGGCTTGAAATGCTAGCGTACTATACAAGACATGAAAATATGCATTTTGCCGTTGTCAACAGAGCTTGGACGATGTCTAAAACCCCTGCTAGACTATTAATCATTCATTGCTTTTGTGCTATAGGATTGATGTCATTGTATTGATAACTGTCGTCCCGATGTTGCCGTCTTACATGCGTAAACTCCCTAATACGGACCTTTCCCCTTTTGAGTGAAATTTTGATCTAGATAAGTCTGGACGAAAATTTCATCACTGCTTGAAAGAGCATCACAAAATTAGTAATATTCCGAAGTTTCGTTGCGAAATGTTGTAAAATGCGGATAATATAGCCTTGCGAAGTTTGCCGTTTTTCAGTCATTTTGTATTACAAACGGGAAATTGATAATCAGATGATCAAACTGATTATCAATTTCCCATTTGTAATACAAAATGACTGAAAAACGGCAAACTTCGCAAGGCTATATTATCCGCATTTTACAACATTTCGCAACGAAACTTCGGAATATTACTAATTTTGTGATGCTCTTTCAAGCTGTGATGAAATTTTTGTCCAGGCATATCTAGATCAAAATTTCACTCATAAGGGGAAAGGTCTATTGCATGATCTGATTTTAGAGGACACTGTACCTTGGGCGTTTAGACGAAGGACTACTTCCACTGTTTGATTCTAAAAATGCAACACATAGATGTATTTAGTTCATACTATCTTAAGCCTGCATGGTTTACACTACCAATAGGGCCATTTATACGAGCGAAAATAAGTCGCGGCCTAAATAAGCCGCGGCTTAAATAAGTCGCGAACGACTCGTATAAACAGTCAATTTGCAATAAGCCGCTGCTTATTTAGGCCTAGCTTTCAACTCTGGGCTTATTTTAGCCGCGGCGTATTGCAAATTGACTGTTTATACGAGTCGTTCGCGACTTATTTAAGCCACGGCTTCTTTTCGCTCGTATAAATGACCCTAATGTTTCTGTGATCACAGTAGCAATTTTGCATCTAGGGTAAATTCTACGTTTGGAAGAATTCGTAAAGAAATATTTGAAGAAACTGATTCAGTGTTAAATACAACGTCAGTTGCCTCAAACATTTTAGCTGTGCAAAATACCTAGTGTGATCACACAAACTTTGATAGTGTAAACCATCCTTTAATCACCTTTATCCAGAGTATTCAATTATTCTCAATACTACTAACTGTATACCTTCGCTGTGTTCATTTGATTTTTTACTTTTCTTAGGTTTGCCTACAGAAGAAGACACAAGGTAAAGAACTGTATAATGGATAGAATATCTTAACAACCACATGTTGCACGAGCAGCGTACGGTACCTTTAACTAAGACCATCCATTTGTTTAAAACATTGCTCGCTAAATCTTTCACATCTAAGGAATAACAGCAAGAGAGTGGTTGAATTCATTTTACAAAACTTATTTATTGAATTGATTGATGTTAATTTAAGAACAAACCTGTTTCCTCTCTTTTAGACAGTTGTTTAACAAGTTTTCCAATGTTTCCCTAAACAAACAAAATATGTACTAGGTTTTATGAGAAGGATTTTGTACATGGAAAATGTTTTAATTTGTATCTACACAGTTGCATTTTTCGCAAATGCTCTAAGGCCTAATATGTGTGTAAAATCCACATTCAAATTTCCGTCTAACCCTTCTAAAATTAAAGATGATGTCCACTCCGTTCTGCACATCAGTTCTGCTCATAACAAAGGGGGACCCCCAGATATAAACATTGCCCAAATTTTGCATCTTTCGAACTTTTTTGAATTGAAACGTATAGTTTATATTCATTTACAAGCATAGCGAACCAGAAAAGTGTTAGATATTCAGTTAGTATATCATATTTTACAAATATAGCATGCAGTTCAAAACGTAAACAAAGTTCGCGCATGTGCACAGGAGTGGACATCATCTTTAAATGTAGTTATATCAAGTGCAGATGCCAAAAATCATGATAGGTTTTATGAGAACTGTCTCCTCAGCATCTTTATAAATCCTTGTCAAACGGTTTGTTCCTCAACGTGAAACATTGCTGTAATATCGCTTATTTCTCAACACATTATTTTCTATGGTAATGTTAGTTTAGCGACCGTGCAGTACCTACTGTTACGTATACCAACACAAACATGCATTTTAAGACCATGACAGTACCTACATTTAATTATCAATTTAGACAAACCAAAGTGTACCACAATGGTTGTGTATTTCAAATTTGACATTTTCTCTCTGCATACTGACCTGTTTAAGAGCTTCAACGGTAATTGGCATCGCTTCCAACAACTGACATACAAAAACATAAAACAATTAAGGAACACTATTTACATATTTAAAAGTATTTTTTATGATTTGGAATACAAGATGAGGGATGCACAGATATCCATACTGTATATATCAGCGTATCAGATATTGACCCGAAATCCACACTCAACCACAGTGAAAATTCTACTAGTCAAGGGATAGAGTGCTGCCACCACATTGGACAATTGGTAAATTTCCACATCGATGCATCATTATATAACTTAAGGCGTAAAAAAATACCTGTGGTTCTGATTCCCGACCGACCCTATTTTTTTCTGCCGACCCTATTATTTTTTCAACGCGACTGACTGTGCGACCCTATTTTCTCCAGGTGGTTGCGGGCTGCTGCCAAAATGGCGTCTGTTGTCACACTAATTATTAAAAAAACCATGAAAAAAATATCCAAAAAAAATTATTTCCGACTTACCGACCCTAATTTTTTCCCGAGATGAAACCGGAACCACAGGTATTTTTTTACACCTAACTAGGATAACACGCCTAACTAGGATAACACACTAACCTCTAGAACATCCAAAATCAATGGCATATTTTGTGACGTTATGCCTTCCTCAAGCCATTTGTTTAGTACTGAACAACCACCATCCTTAACAAACCTGGCAAATAGAACAACTGTTAAACAACCAGTTATTCACATAATGCACTTGGATTATTTGGTTCTTTGTTTTAGTGTAACAGCATAATATCATTACAAAAATGTCTTACTTGTGAACGGTTTCCAAAGCAGCGCTATTCTCAGCAGCTATCTCAATGGTTGCTCTCAGGATGTTGAGAAATGTGAAACGACTCAGCATTTTCTCGGCATCCTTCATCAGACTAAACATAGAAATATAATTTAAAATAATTTAATCATCATTTGCAACTTTTAAGTTTCACTCTTAAAAAGCATGAACATTGATTTCACAAAATATTGACATGTGAAACTTTCATGTTTGTCAAAAGCATTTGACAGGTCTTAATCTGATCAGTCCACCATGTACAACAAGCCTCATGCCCAAATATTAATTTGCTGAGCTAATAATACACCCTTCTGGGAAGTAAGTCACTTTGGCTATAAGCCTTGTGCAGGTGACATTAGTTAAAGCCCAAGGTCTCAAATCACAAAAGCAAGGCCCTTCAGCTAGTGAAGGCCCTTCATAACTTCTCAACAAAGGGCCTTCCCTCAAAACGTCAAAGTTTCCCTTGTATTTTAAGGTAGTTCAATCCCTGCTCATCTACAGTTCTCTGGTGTTTCACTGTATACCTTATGACTGTGATGACCTCCTGTGGTCCTTTGATATCCCCATATTCCCCTAACATGCTACTCATTGCATCCAACAACACCCTCGGATCACTTGCACCAGACATTGTCTAAAACATTAGTTACGGTATGAAAAAGATCAACTCCAACATCTCTTTAATGTCAGACAATATGCTATTCACATAACAAAAAATTGAAAGTTAGGGGTATCGTTTTTACAAGCGTACAAACCACATGCTAGGGGGTGGGTTAATGACTGATGTATACTTTTTGGAGACCGATGATAAGACTCATCATTATCTGAGTTTCAACATTTAAGAGTACAATATATGTCTATAAGTACTGTCTAAAGCTAGAGGGAAAGGTGTCTGGCAAGGGCACAATGCAACTAAATAAGCTTGACAAGTGTGGGCCATCTCATCTCTCGCTAAGAGAAAAAAACTTACTATGAATCCCTGCATGAAGCAGCTCTGTCAATATCCACACTTCTTCAATTGTGGCTTCTTGTGAATGGTGTTTTACCCATCTTTTAGAACTGGTCACCCTACAAAATATAATAAGGTTGTATTGAGATGCAAATGCAATGTGAATTAGATGAAGATTGTGTTTGTTAGTTCACTCACAATGGCCCTCATATTTTTAATTAATTTAACCCATAGTAGCTTCTACACCCCATGCTATATTATTTACTGCAATATGCCAGATGGTTTTACTGCAGAGACATTGTTGGAATTGTTAATGGGCTAGTGTTAAAAAGCACTTGTTACTTAACTCTGTCTAATGCCAGACAATTTTACTTGTCAAGGGGCCTGCATAATTATTATATCAGAATTACAAAATACTGTATTGTTCATTATTTCATGATTGACTCGGTTTTCTTTGATGTACCGCGGGCTGTATATAGCATAATGCCCTTGAATACCATAAAGCCCTAATTAGTCAAGAAATAAGGGAGAAAACTAGAAAAATACTTGTCGAAATCGAAAAAAAAGAATAAAATTTTGTTAGAAAACCTCTTCAATCATGAAATAAGTCGGTTAATTACCGAGAATGTCGGGCTTTATGCTATATAAAAGCCCTCGAACGCTTCGTGTTCTCGGGGCTGTATATAGCATAAAGCCCTCCTTCTCGGTAATTAACTCTTACTTAATTGTCAATCCACTAAATAGTTTGTAACTGTACATGTAGGTTGGTGTTCAAAGTAGTGTCCATCTAGCATTTTGCCTTTGGATGGCTACTGCTTAACAGATAGTATTAAAAGCATAAACAAAGTGTTTGGAAAATTGAATTCAAGATTTTACATACTTCAATAAAGTGCTATGGAAATCGTTTAACCATTGTGTCTATATAGGATCCGTTTTAATTTGCATCATCGCTGAATAATAAACTGCTTTTCTTGGATGTACAGTATGTATGCTATGTAATTGGGCTGATAGGGTGCTAACAAATTAATGCCCAACACTTTCCCCTTGTCAGGTAAAATCGTCTGGCATACAGATGTAAAATATCAAAGCAATCGTCTGGCATACAGAAGTAAAATATCAAAGAAGAGTGTTATACTGTAAGATGCATTGCAGTTTTAATGGGGTTAATTAGCTTTTTGCTCATCAACTAGTCAATAAGAAAGGCATGTTGCATACTGGTGTTATAAGACGGCAGATTGTGGGCAACTTTAGGCTGTGGATATTTACAGGAAAACATAATTAATAAAATTACATCTCACAATTCTATTTATTTAACACCAAATACACAACTACTTAGGCCCCATTTACACGATACCGGATTCGCATTGGAGCAACATCAACTAAGGCACTTTTTGGCCTCTTACAACTTTTCATATTTTACGTTTTTGAGTGCTAAAGTCCCCTTGAAATTGTAAAATTTGATGTCACTCCAAAGCAAATCCGGCATCGTGTAACTGGGGTCTTATTCTAGTGGTCCTAATATGCTCACACAATGTGATTGACAATGATTTATCAAATGATGCAGGGAATTTGTTGAGAGGGGCTTGTCGGGAGATGTTACTATATTATAGTGACAACAAGGGCTCTTACTGGACCAACAGGGAGAACAGATTAGAACATGATATATCCTACAAGCAGAGCCTGATGAAAGACTTTCCTTTATTCTGAGGAAATCAGGCTCTGCTCACAGGGTAAGAACTGATCGAGCTATCCAGTACAAGTTAATTTAGTTTAGGTTTCCTCCTGTAGTAAAACACTGGACTAACAAAGGATGGGAATTCATATGGATGACAGCTGTAGAAAAAAAATAATATTAGCTTATGTAATGCGCGAATCAAATCGAAACCTTGACATCCCCCCCCCCGGGCATACCTGGGGAATTTGCTTGTTTAGTATTTTAAGAAGGCGGGAATTTGACCTTTTTTTCTAGTGGAAGGTGGGGAATTTGAAGGGGGTCGGGAATTTGAATTTTTCTTTTAAACACGTGTGCAGAATCCAAAATGGCGTCAATAATTAATGGATGAGTTCAAGGTCTTCAAGTGCAAAGGAATTAACTTTGTCCTTGGTTGGCTACAAGAAAACGACTTTGAACGATTGAAGAGAGTTTTAGAAGGAAAGAAAAACTTTGAAATTCCAAAATTGCGAAATGCTGTAGCTTCCAATTCGTACATGGGGTGGGGTATTTGAACTCCAATTTTTCCCAATACGTGGTGTATTTGAACGGGAATTACAAATATACGTAGGGAATTTGACCTGACCAAAACGTCAAAATCCAAATTCCCGGGGGTATGCCCG